CCTGCTGCTGGATCCTTACCATGGGCCAAGCTGGGTTTCTGTTGCTGGCAGTTTTGAACTGTATCCAGTTCAGTACCAGTGCAGGGACTGACAATCAGTTAATTGTCAGTCCCAGCCCCAGTATCGCACAGGAGTCCTGTACTGGCTCTTGTCCCAGCCCCGCATTACATCTTATGTGCAGTTAACATGTTTTAAGTGTAACATGAGGCATGGCCTTCAGCATAATGCACAGATGAGTTCAGCATCATCAGTTAAGGTGCACCTAAGTTAGGAAAACCTGCATGTCAGTTACTTTTGCATGGAAAATAATTCTTCAAAGACATTCAACAAGGAGCTGCTACCTGATTATATCCTGCTTTATTAGTAAATGGTAGGGGCTTTAAACAGCCTGTAACAGAATCATGTAAAACAATCAACAGGCAGAGTACTTCCTTTAAAAAAAAATCTAGTAAAAGTAGCTAATAATTAGCTCAGAACTGTGCATCCTTTCTGACTATCTAACATGAATGTTAGGTGTATATTAAGTATTTTAAAATATTTTAAAATTTTACTATATAAGTAGGTATATTTTAAAATACTTAATGTAGATCAACAACACATGTAATATAAATAGCTTCAGTAGGCTAAGGTGGATGTATGAGTTTTCAGTGACTTCCTTTTAAGAATTTTATACTTTCTAGAGCTGTAATTAAATTATATAGTTAATGCCCAATCAAAGAAAAAGGTCAACACTTTTCATGTGATGGCTTTGTTTTTCTAGGTGATGTGAGAAGAGACCTTGATTTACTTAGGGAAAATCTGCACACGCATGATTAGGTAAAAGATAGCAATAAACAATAGGATAAGCTTCAATGTGCAGAACCCTCCATAACTATCCTGTGTATCCAAATTGCTATTCTCTGTTAATGACTAGCAGAACCTGGAAACCTTTTAACATATATGCTGTGTTCAAAGTGAATCAATCCACATATCTTTTACTTTTTTTAATGAGAAAATTTCAGTCTAGTCCCATGGTTCTAGGAATTTAAGAAAAGCTCATGCCAACTGAGTCAAGGAACTTGGACTGTTTCAGAGTTCAGAATGGCACTGAAATGTTTTGCCAAGACCATGCTAACATTTTAGTAATGATGAGGTAATAGTAATACATCTTACCATGTTGCAAAAGTAGATTTCTTTTTTATTTTTTACTCAAGATTCTGAGATTACACAGATTCATGTAGTTCTTCTTTGCCTCTAAGAAAATGGACATGCTGTTAGGCATTGTGAGGAGCATCCCTTACTTTTTGTCGTGTATGTGTAGCTGGCTTGCTTGATTTGTTTGGATGCCAACTGTCCGAGTTGGTTGCTTGTTCATTAGTCTGTGTGCCTTTGAAAGGCTGACAGGGGCACCCAAAGGATTCTTTCACTGCAGCCTGGTAAAAATGTGAACAATGCCCTCCTAACACTATCCTTCATTTTACTTTTCAGGGGAAGTGACTGAGGGATGATATGGTGCTTTGTATGTTATTATCCAGACCGATGGAGTCACTGACTTCCATGGAAATTGTGGGAGTTTAACATCTCTGAAAAAATCTTACCATTATTACTAATGTGTTTGGATATTGAGTCCCAAATATTCATTTTAAGAAGGCTTACATGATTTTAATACAGATGAGGAGAAATGCTCTGTGCATTTCCTAGTTGCTTTTCCTCCTTAACATCTTTGTTTTTCTCCTTTGGCAGCCTGAAATAACGACTGTTCATAAAAAAAATGCTGTCCTTGAGTCTGCTATTTCAGTAATGCAGTACTGAAGTATGCATGAGTATAAAAAGGTTAGTAAATGACTGGCTGCCACTGTATACTACTAAAGTTTTAGGGAGAGGGGTTCGAAAGAGGATGGAGCTAGACTAGGGGTCAGCAACGTTTTTGGGCAGTGTGCCAAGAACACACACAACTTCAACTTGTAAGACGTTGGCGTTCCAGGGGCGGATGGCAGGGGAGCCACAGAGGGCCTGATCCTTGTTGTGGCCATACAGTCCCTGCCCCTTCCCTGCCATCCACCCAGAGGCATGTGTGCCAGGCAAAATGTCTTCAAGTGCCACACTGTGGCACCTGTGCCGGGGGTTGCCTACCCCTGAGCTAGACTGTTCTTAGTGGTGGCTGATGGCAGAACAAGGAGCAATAGTCTCGAGTTGCAGCAAGGGAAGTTTAGGTTAGATATTGGGAAGAATTTTCTCACTAGGAGGGTAGTAAAACACTGGAACAGGTTATCCAGAGAGGTGCTGGAAGCTCCATACTTTGAGGTTTTTAAGGCCCAGCTTGACAAAGCCCTGGCTGGGATGCTGTAGTTGGGGCTGGTCCTGCTTTGAGCAGGGGGTTGGACTAGGTGACCTCCCAGGGTCTCTTCCCACCCTAACTTTCTATGATTCTATGAACATGACTGAAATCAGCAAAACTTATTTTCCCCTCATACTTGTAAGAATAAATCCTGTGATGCTAATGAAGTCGCACTGGCCTACAATGTGTGCGTGGAAATAGTTCCACTTCTATAGCAGTTAAGTTTCCTCTTTGGATGCTTAAAGGTATAGTCACATGTAACGATTGCATTGATTGCAAATGATACTAGTATAAACAGTTGCAATGCAATGGTTCCGGCTACGTGCTCCTATAATAAAAAATAATATTGCATCCTGATTCATGCAAGAGTTAACGTTGCAGCAATTTTGGCTAAACTGAATGGCTTCCAGATTGTGCAGCCTGACCAGTTAGATGACTGCTTCTGAGGACCAAGGGTTTGAAGTAGTTAAAAGATATGTTTGTCAACTTGTGATGTCTTTTCAGAGAACTGCATGCTTTTGAATATTGTTCTTAAGCATTTAATATAGTAGGTTTAAGAGGGCAGCATGTATACTTTTAGCATTTTTCTTAACACTTTTATCAGAGGACCTTAAAGTTAATTAATGCTATATTTTATCACATAGAACATGCACACTTTGTCTTTGAAATAAATGAAGAAAAAGATTTTTCCATAGTTATGGTTTCATAGAGCTAGGACAGCCTAATCTTCAGCTGATTCACCTCCCCACCCTTTCCTGCTTAACTGAAAGCTGAAACCTTAGCTGCTGCTGAAGACTGGTATTCATAGGTGGATCTGTGATTTTGCAAAGTGTCTCCAGGACTGTTAAATAGAAGGAGAGAGACCATGAGCAGGTAACGGACAGTAAAACAGCACAAAGGTTAGCTTGATTAATGGAACATCAGAACCAGTTAACAAGGAGAGACCAGCTGTAGCAAGAAGAACAATGAGGCAGATGCACACCCCAATTTGGAGGAGGCTGATTTTGGGGGGAGGGGAGGTGCATTTGGTGAGTAAATACAGCAACTTATAGCTTCTATGATGTTCCCATGTTCTAGAGGGCAGTACTGAGACCCCAGAGACATTAAAGGATTTATATAAGGTCACAAAGAAAGACACTGACCTAGCTATATCTAAATTAAAGAAAAAATAGAGTCCAAGTTCCCATTCCTCTGTTTTAAGGATAGCACCACTGACCTTTGAATTGTAATTGTGCAAAACTGGAACAAGATCACCTAACCCAGTCAAAATTTTCTACTTTTATACCAGTGTTACTGAGGTCAGAAGTAGCCTTCTGCCCCATTTGTGGCCCAGGTATAACCCCCAAGAGGCTTATTTTTTGGTTAGCAATGTAGAAAAGGCATTTCTTGTTTGCTGCATTAGGCCATCATAGCTAGCAAAATCAAATCTCTACTGTGTAGCAAAGCTCTACTTTGAGATTGACTTCCTCCTACTCATGCAACATGTTTGTTAACTGTGATGAAATGTGTGCCTTGGGACTCATACCATCTCTCTTCCATGTTCTTTGTTCCTTCTAGCAGACTGTTAGGATTCAAAAAATAAGTCAAGACCTTTAACACGAGTGTTTACTTCCCTCCCCATATACAGGCACCATGGGAACATTCTTGCAAAACAGAATTTCACTGCAACTGTTAACAGCTTATGGATGGAACGGATAACAGACGGGAGTTTTGGGCTGGATTGTAATTGTTGTAGACAGCTAAATGAGATATAGGCATGTAAGTCACAAAAACCTATTGGCATTCAAAAAGCCCAAGCCTGAATTGTTTCACTCTTTGCAAGTTAGTCTAACCTGCGTAGATTAAACCGATTTGCTAGTGGATAGACATTCCCTTTTCATTCTGGAAACGCAGGCACATGCCTGCAGTGGCTCAGGCCAGAAGCCCCTGGGGTGCCAGACCAGCCCTCCCTCCCTTTCCGCAGCGGCCAGGCCTGAGAAAAGCTGAGCTGAGGGATGCGTGACCAGGCCCCAGCAGACTCGAGTATGATTTGGGGCAGGTTTAAACCCCCACCCTGGCAGGGACCCCAGCTGGGATGTACCTAGATGGGGAAAGGGGAAGCACCTGGACTTAGGCTTCTGGGCATGCCAAGAAGGGACACAAATAGGTGCTCAGGTCATGGTCTAAGCTCCATTGCTACCCAGATTGGAGCTTGCAGTTACTTAAAGTCTTCCTGTGTCTTCAGTCTATTAGATGTCCACAGGCCACGTGTAGTACTTGATTCAGGCAAGTAATTTGGCACAAAACACAGCATCTATTGTGGGCTTCATTCTTGACCGCAGCTCAGCTGCATAACTTGATGTGGTAGCCCAGTAAGGAGGGGCATTTCTCTGGGAAAGGAAGTCCTTGCTCCTGGCCCCATTTATGCATTTTATGTTAGACAATCATTGGTTACAAAACAAAAGCAAGCCTGATACCAGGGGGGAGAACGCAGGATTCCCCATCCTGCGGAGTGCGCGTCTTACTGGGCTGTAGAAGGGTGGGGGGCATGTCTCACTAGGCTGTAGAATTAGACTCCGCTAAATTTGTTCATTTCTGGTTCTATGAATCTTGCATATTTAGCTTTCGAGTAGCCTAGTTTGAGCAGAAGGGTTGGAGGATGTCCAGTACAGCCTGGCCCATAGCCTCGGTGTTGGGGCACTCTCCTGGGAAAGTAGAAACATACCTTCCACTCGGGTGAGGCTGGCTAAAATCTTGGTTTTCCACTCTTTGGGCAGATGTTCTAAACTGGGAGCTATTGTGAAGAGGCTTGTCACTGCCATCATGACTTTTGATAGTAAAAGTTGCTGTAAGTTCTGTGTCTTGAACTGAATTGAAAAATACTATCAGTATGAATTAAACACTTCCCGACTGGGTGCCCTGGATCCCCAGATGAGAAAGGTGCCTAATGTGCAGACCTGGAGTTAGATGCATAAACTTGGAAGGGGGATGGAAATTTGCAGTCTGTTGGCTAACTCCAGGCATTTCCCTATTCAGGAAATTAGTTCTCTGGATTGCCCTTTGGCAGCTGTTAACCCTGTTGATTTGGATAGTTCGCCCATGGGATACAGCCTAACTTTTTAGGTGTTTCAGTGTCTAAATGAAGATTCCAGCAGCTCCAAATCACTCACTGGTACTTTGGGTACAAATAATTTGCTCGGAAGGTTCATGCTTCACCAGTAATAATTTGTAATATTATCCCATAAATCATCTAATGAATTATTCATTGACTCATTATTTTGTAAAATAATTTGACCAGCTCTCCTGTTTCTTCTTTAGTGTTGTGCTTATGCATTCATGTGTTCTGCAGGATGCTAAATGCAATGATGCTAGCACATTACGAAGGGAACGTGTCCAGCAATAACAATAGATATTTAATTTTTATAAATTTGAAACAGCAAAAGTAACAAAAACCCCAGCAAAGAGAGGGCATGCACAAACCTTCAGCATGTAAAGAAAGTAATGTTTACTTTAAACCCTATCATTTAAAAATATGTAATAATAGATCACTGTGCAGTTTTCTTTTGTTTTTGTTACTATCTTAGCTTTGATTACTCTTCCTTCTGTCCTGTATAATCTGAAGTAATTTTAACCAGGGCTTTCAACGTAAACAACCTCAACAGGTTTCTTATTTTTAGCTTTCTTTCCTACTGACTGTTTTTTTTCTTTTTTCCATGTCAAGCTATTTTTTGGTTTATTCACAAATTGAAATAGTGCTCTTCTCCTTTATCAGGAACATAAGTCATTAATCCTAAAAAAAACGGGATCAAACCCCCAACTAGTTAGAGTTTTTATTTTGTATTATAATTTACTGTTTCAAATGTCCATAGACTTCTCCTAAGCAAGATGCTGGTGATGTTTTGGGACTGGTGGTGGGCCAAAATAACAGCTAGGTCCATGGTAGGCCAGCCGTTCTGTCACCACTTCTCCCGGCCGCCTTGCCACTGCATCAGCAAAGCCCCGAGGCCAAAATACTGCAACAGCCCGCTCGCCATTGAAGTGCCTTGGAAACCACACCTTTGTGGGGCAGAGGATCGCTCTGTGGCCGGATCCCCGCTGTAGGCTGTTGGCTACTGTTTTAGGCACTTAAAAATTGAAGACAGGGCCACATGTTCTTAAAAAGATGATATCCCTCAGATTTGGTATAAAATGGATTTGATTTAAATCAAATGGATTTAAATCACTAGTCGGGAAACCTGGATTTGATCACTGTTTTCTACAAAAAGTGCATTCTTGTTGTTTGATATAACCTTAATGCATATTATTCACAACTCGGAGCTAGATGCAGGTTTCATTTTTAGAAGGTACACGCTATACATTTTGAAGCAGTGATTTTTTCTTTGATATTTTTTCAGATTAATTTTTCAGCCACATCAGAAAACTGAATTATGACATTTAAATTGTTTTATTTAACAAAAACAACAACCGTATGTATTTTGGATATTTTTCTTCAATAACAAACATATATACTTATTTTAACAAAACAAGCACATGTATTTTTGAATTTTTAACTATTTAAGTTATAAATGTGAAATGTATTTTTTAACAAAAATTAAATAGATGATTTCAGCCAGGTCAGCATGAGAAACTTAAAACACTGGGGTATGCAGCAGACAGTCTTCACCTTCCTCTTCTTGTTTATTCATAGACTGGAAAAGAAAGACGAGCTTTCCTGTTTTATCAGTTCCCAAGCAGTTTCTCAATTTAGAATAAATTAGTCCAAAAGAAGAAAATATTCTTTCTACACCTTCAGAAGAAGCTACTGCTGCTAAAAGATGGATTATCACTTTAATCATCTCTGGATCCAGGTGCTTACGTGATTTCCACCAGTTCACTGGTGTGACTTTCTTTAAAACTTCATCAGTAAACAGGTATTTCTTGAATGGTTCACCCTTAGTCCTGAAATTTATTATAGTTGGTATTATGGAGGGATGATGGCTGGATGCCCATGTCACAGCTGACTCCTCCTCTTCAGCAGTTAAAGATTGACCCTGGTAGTGAGTGCTGAGAATATTGGCAAGAAAATGAGCTTGAGATGGTGCTTGATCCACTTGTTTTTTTTAATGCCTGTAATTTAGCTCTGTCATCACGTATTTCTCTTTTCAAGGTCTCACTCAGTTCCTTCCAAATTTCAACAGCATCCGCAATAAAACAGCCTGCACTTTGTTCAAGGCTATGGAAATAGGCTTCAGGATAGTCCGCATCTGTTCTGCCTTCCTCTAGCCCAACGTTGAGAACTTTAGCTATGACCGTTCCCTCTATTTTGTCACAGTTTTGTTCACACATTTTCGTAAACTTAGGCGAGTTCTCAATACATTGCTCAAAACAGTCCACTACTCAGTTCCATCGCATGTCTTGTGAGAGTTAAGTTTGGGTCCTCCTGCTTTCTTCAGAGCACTGCTGCAAAGTGGTTGTTACAGAAGTATTTTCCAGTTTCAACAAAATTAGCCTTTATTTCTGGAGCACTGAGGTCTTTGGCTAAGAGGTGCATCAAATGAGCACCACAGCCATGTGTGTGTTATAGCTTTACTGCTACTACTGGTAAGTATTCTGCTGTGTGCATTTCCTGATGTATCAATTGTTTCTGTAAGGTAGACAGGTCCTTCTTCTGTTGTCACAAGCACATATTGCTGGATCATTGTGGATATTGCTCCACCCATCAAGACTCAAGTTAACAGTTTTCCCCTCTAGACTTTTTGCATGCTGTTTAGTTTTTCTTACACTCTTTATCCAGCAGTATCATCTCAGATAGTATATAATTGTAAGTTATAATCCCTAGTGCATGATATCTTTGAGCTTTAACTTATGTTAAAACTATCTTTATATAGGTTGGTTTTTTTAAAAGCATCTTAAAAATAAAAATATTAAATCAAAAAGTCTGATTTAAATAAATCCAATTTATTTATTTATTTTAATTATTGATTTTTATCCACCTTGAAAATGATAGAGTCTGAGTTATGGTCTCAGTTTCATGATGCTTTTCTAATTCTTTAATACTTTCCTTGAACTGGTAGATCTACTATTTGTTCCACATAATTTTGAGATAATTGGATTCTGCTTTGGCCAACTTGGTTCAGTATAAGGAACTCTTTTTTTCTGTATCTGAATACAAAGAGACCATCCATTTAATGCCGGTTTAAGGGGACTGGATTGTTTGGGAGTTAACTAACTGGGTGCAGATTCATAGAGCTTTATCTCTGGGTCACCAGTTAACATCTAGTGTACATCAAAAGGCATTCTGATGTCTTTTCTGTAAATAATGTAGAATAAGTTGTAAGTCTCAACCATTTTTGGCAGGCATCTGTTTCTGTCCGTCTCTCAAACAAACAGAAAAGGAAAACAAACAGAAAAAACCCTCTTGCCATAACTGGTACTCAGAGTTGTCTGTAACTGGTGCATTTTAACATAAATAATCATTTCCAGAGACTGAAGGGGGCTTTGCTCAGGATAATGTTTACTTCGGGTCACATTTGAAGCACGTTAATAATGGAGACTTCTAGGGAAGTTTTGGTGGTATTATCATTCATTCTGTACCTGCTCTGCATTATAAATGGAGGGCTCCAGTTTTCAGGACGGGTACCTTTCAGAAGCTTTACCCTAACCTTTAAAATGACTGTGGATATGCTGGGGAAACCTTCATGATAAACGGCATAATCCTAACTTGGGGTAGAATACTGGGGGAGAGGGTTGTGGATGGTTGGGTGCATGTAACCCTTATCCAAGAGGGAAAAAATGAATTT